AGGCTCCAAGCAATGTCTGACCACTGCCCTACCATCTACCAACTTCAATTTATGCTTTTTCAGTGGAGCATTGACCTCGAGGACGTCCTTTCATTGGAGCTTTGCATTTAGTACATTTGCGAGTACGTTTATTCCCAGCGCTATTTAATATTTGATCCGCATCATCTGTTAGGTCTTGTAACTGCTGTCTTTGCTGTTCCACTAAGGAAAAAATGCAGATCATTACATCCTAAAATAATTGTAAACAATACCATTATCCCATACTTACAGCACGGATAAAGTGCATGACTGACATGCTTGTTCCTCGCAACATATTTTTTATTGCTTCAGCCTTGGATCGTTTGTTGGGAAACTGGCTGCACAAAGGTTCGGGTGCTTTTCCTCTATATCTATCCATTATAGTCGAAAGTTCTAGTTTATTAGACATGAAAAGAACATTCTTTACTTGTTCATTTTGCAACTTCTGGGCCTTTTTCTTCAAAGATGCTTTTGTCTTTTTATACCAGCTTAAAGTCTTTTGTAAAGATGTAAGTTTTTTCTTAAGACGATGGCACGATTTATATGGAGACTGGGATTCACAAATATCTTCACCAACTGCATGTAGTTCTTCTTCAAATATCGAATCATTTGCTTCCCCAGTGCATACTTCAACATGCTCAGCTCCATCACTAGTAGATTGTACATCCTCATCGAGAGAGCATGTTTCCTTCAGCGATGGCTTATGGAGGGTATGTCGAATAATCTACAAAACTTATATCGAATTTATATGACAAAAGAAATATTAACATAAACAAGCGTAAACTTACTTGTCTGCGCTTTCGATCGGTTATTTCGTCCTGTAATGTTCAGGAATCCCAGCCACGTCAATGGTTGGGATAGCATCTTTCTTCAACCTTCTTTTGAGCTTGACTTGCACGCTCAAATTAAGGTCAAAACAAGAATCTTCAAAATGCGCAGAACAGAGACACGAGGTAGAGGAACCCTCAAAACCCGGTCTATGTTTACGCACAAAATTTACCCATTTTCTATGTCTTTGCGGCTCTGTTTCTTTTCTAGGAAACAGAGGCATCGACATTCCTTCTGTTTTTGAATCATTGGCGCAACTAATCTGATTAGGTCCGCCAGCAACACAGCGTTTTCCTCCGCGTTTCTTATTAAGATTACAAGTAGAATACGTCATGTTGATATATGTGTTCAACTTTCTACGTCACAACTCATAAGCATACCGATCAAAAAGTTCGCAAAAAAATGCTGAAAATCGTGACTTTGAACGTCCGTAAAATCACTTTCACCAATCCAATTTCAATTTCAATTGCAGATTTAAAATCACTGAAACAAGGTCTTTCAATTTAGCTAATAAAAAAGGGGGGATAAAATTCGTGATATAACCACTTTAAGATCAGGAGCAATATTATGTTATGACCTTTAAATATCGTTGTTTCCGCATAATTTTTATTTCGTAATACTTTTTCCAATATTGATAACCTTTGTGCTTTATCGAAATCTTGAATGAAACGTAAAAATTCAAAAGTGAAATAGAAAGTTAAAACACCCATTCACTTTGCCCACTGTATATAGTACTTTCTATCATTCACTTTGCTTGACGTACCGTATGTAGTACCTTTTGGATTTCAATCATTCACTTTGCTTGATGTTGCCGTGTACCGTATGTATTACCTTTTGGACTTCAATCATTCACTTTGCTTGATGTTGCCGTGTACCGTATATAGGATTTCAATCATTCACTTTGCTTGATGTTGCCGTGTACCGTATGTATTACCTTTTGGACTTCAATCATTCACTTTGCTTGATGTTGCCGTGTACCGTATATATTACCTTTTGGATTTCAATCATTCACTTTGCTTGATGTTGCCGTGTACCGTATATATTACCTTTTGACTTCAATCATTCACTTTGCTTGATGTTGCCGTGTACCGTATATATTACCTTTTGGACTTCAATCATTCACTTTGCTTGATGTTGCCGTGTATCGTATGTAGTACCTTTTGGATTTCTATCATTCACTTTGCTTGACGTTGCCATGTACCGTATGTAGTACCTTTTGGATTTCAATCATTCACTTTGCTTGATGTTGCCGTGTACCGTATATATTACCTTTTGGACTTCAATCATTCACTTTGCTTGATGTTGCCGTGTACCGTATATATTACCTTTTGGACTTCTATCATTCACTTTGCTTGACGTTGCCGATCTTAGAAGTTTCTTCGAAGGACCACAGTCATCTTGGCCGTTTTTGTCGTAGTTACTTTTTTCAGATTCTCCCTCTCATACCTAGCTTTAGTACGTTTAATCGGCGTGACATTCGTGAATTAAGAGAAGCATGTTTGATGATAGAAGTTGTTATTCAGCAAATGAGACGAGTTTTCCTTTTCGAGATTTCCTTTACGAGATTTCCAACAGAAAATAGCATTTAACACGTGAAAATACACAAGTATCTAAAACGGATTCGCTTATATATATGAGTTTATTCCTAAAAGTTTTGAAGATCTATCACATAGTATGACAATTTATCAGACTTTTGAAATTATTGCTGATTCATTCTTTTGAAACTATTTGCTGACTATATTCTACGCACAACAGATTCTATTTTTGTTTGATTACCTCGTGAGATTTTAATAGGAGGTTATTTTAATACATCGCTTGAATAATTTCTTGTTTATTCATCTTTTGCCTTAGTCATCGCTTGATCAGCAAAACGAGACGATGAAAACAAGAGGCGTAATATTTATTCTGTTCTTGGTCCTTCCTTGGGCATCATGTTGCCCAGACGGTCAGTATCTGAGCACGTTTCTTAACGATTGTGTTGACTGTCCCGTCAATCCCTCATCTAACTGTGCTGAAGTTGATAATACTGATGTTTGTTTGACAGTTTTATCATTGTTTAATTGTTTACAAAGGTCTTCATAAGTTTTCAAAAGAGAGTCGATATCTTTTCCTTCTAGTGTCATCACAAATGTTGTTTTATTTTCCCAGTCAAACGAGTTATACATTTCTTCACAAACTTGTATAGCTAATTCAGATTTACCACTTCCAGGATTACCAGAAATATAGTAATATGTTAGTTCATTATTGTTAGTACTGCGCAAGTTATTGAGATCTGCTGTGATTTGATTAAGTAACTCTGTACGTTCAACGACATCGTGATTTGGTTTACAAGGAAGTTTTCGCAAAGAATTAAATGTGTTTCGTTGACATTTAATTTCATTAATTTCAGTAAATGAAAATGCTAGATCTTTAAATGACTTTTTAATATCACAAAGCATTTTGTCAAATTCAGTATCAGATTTTCTTCCTGGATTAACATGGGTGAAATCCTTTCTTACATCACGAAGTTTTTCCACGGCAGCTTTAACATGTTAGACCAATTTTTGTTCCAATTGAGTGGGTAAACAATATTGCTTTACATATTGTTGTATAATCCCACTTACTTGTGTCACCATCTTTAAGTTTTGACAATATTTTTTCATCACGAAATATTTTTTTTGATCTTTCAATATTGAACAACTTCTGACCACTGACGTTTGTATTTTCCCATTCTCCAAGAGATTGTTTGTAATGTGTGTTCCATTCTTGGATAAAAAGATTAACAAGTTTCTTTTCAACATCTGTAAGTACTTTCTGCAGAGAGGAGTTATTAATTTCTTCCCTTGACTGCATCTAAAGATCATAAAATTATTCTCAAAATAATTATTATTATAAAGATCATTTATAATAATTATTACTATAAATTATTCTAAAGATCATAAATTGGTTCTTTAATTAGAGTTTATACACAACTAAAATTGTTGAAGATCAAACATAGCTACGTAATGTTACAGTTTTACTTGTACGTGTAAATGAATATCGAGGATGGCAGCTTAAAACAACGCAATTGGACATTTTAGTCTTCCTGCATTTAGGCATTTGGCTACATTTTTGGCAGTGGCGTCGCAAGGATTTTGCGAGTAGGGGGCACAAAATTTGTACCACGTCCGTCGATAGCGAAATCGCCCTAAAAATAGCTTCTGCACTGGGAAATTTTTGAAATATTTATCACAACATGAATAGTTTCAATTTTTTAACTTCCCAGTTTAACCTTGGCGGATTTGTACATTTGTCGTGTTATTACGTTACGTAGATTGATTATTGATTTTAATGAAATGTTTTCATATTATAATACTCCCAGAATTTCAGTATTTTCAAAAACCTTACTCTTAGTCATTGCTATATTTGTATTTTTGCGTGTAAAAGTTTGACAACATCTGAAAGTATTTTCTGAATGTAACAGTTATTCCTTTCAACCAATAAGAAAGAAGGAAGTTCATGTGTTATTGAAGGCAGTGATGTTGCTCTTATAATATCAAACCCTCTGATGAATGGTTCATCGACTCCGCTGCAACAAAACATATGACACACAACAAGGATTTTTCAGTGGACTATGTTGAATATCAAACACCAACCAAAATATATTTAGGAGACAACATAGTGACACATGCTCTTGGTGAAAGTCTGGTAAAGTTATTATACAATGTTGAGTTGCACAAAGTGTTGTTTGTGCCATAGCCGGCAAAAATCTTCTCTCCGTACCAGCAATGATTGCCATGGAAACCAAAGTCCAATTTGATGGAAATGATTGTATTGTATCAAAGAATAATAAAGATTATGTTATTGGCGTGATAACAGATGGTATGTTACATACCGTGAAGGATCTTGAATATCCTCAATCTTCAATTGATACATCTCCTGAAATATGGCATCAAAGGTTAGGCCATCTCAATGATGATTACATAAAGAAAATGATGAAGAAAAATATGGTGAAAGGAATAGATAATGGAAAAAACGAGAAGCTGCAAACAATTGTGAAGGATGAATCCACGGAAAGATGCACAGGAATCCTTCCGAATGGCAGACAGATATTGAGTTCTACATCATCATCTATTTCGAATCGCTCGACGAATCCGCTGTCGAAGAGTTCGCGCCATGTAAGACTAGACTCGAATTTATCGCACGTGAGTATCACAATAAACGAAACAATTTTCCAAAGTTGAACGCAAAAATACCACTACTTTTTTTTCTTCACCAACTAAAATGTTCCTGGCAGCAAGATCTCGATGAATACACTATAAAATTATTGCTGGTGTAAGGATAAATCATCACACTAATGCTTGTGCCTATGCAGTGATATAGTTCAATCTAAAGCTACTTTTCTTCCTGACAAGTATTCCATTCCACGAGCAATTTGATAACTAAAGGAGGTGAAATCCCTCAAACACAAGTTTTCTACTCCTTCTATCTGCATGGTGTCTCCGTTTCGGTCAGGTCTTCTTTCACGAAGATATTGTCGTACGCTACCGAATGCTGCGAATTCAAGGACTATCAATGGCGGTCCTGTAAATCAACGAGTTAGATGGCTTATTGCTAGATGACGATGTACTGCTTTGAAGTTACCGTGAACGTTTTATATACATTCAAGCACTCGTTAACTTTAGGTACTCCATAATTTTTATAAGATTTTTAAAAGTTTGCTCGGCTGCTAAAACTTTACTTATGACAGATTCGTGTCGTCAGAGCAAATGATGGCTTGTTTTTATATCGTATGATCTCACTTTCTTTAGAAAGTTAAATTCAAACCAATTCAACAAATTATGTTGCAAAATTGTACCAACTCACCGTTTTGAGTGCAACATCCAATCAAGTTTATGATATTTTTATGACGACCAATAAACTTCATCACTTCCGCTTCAGAGATGAGATCCATCAACTCTCTCTCGGTAGCGTCATCTAATGGATAGAAATTATAATTACATCCATCAATTATGAAAGTATAACTACGTCGCAATAACTGTATATTCTCTGAATCTTCCCATCATGTCCTAACATTTGCCATGATATTTAAGCAATGGAGAGGAATGCTGAAATGTTGAAAACAAAAGATTACCACGAAATTGGACTTTACCAATGGTTGTACGAAATTTAGGTGTAGTGTGAAAAAGTAGTTTATTAGCAAGAAAGGTGTTGTTTGTTGCTGTTAGATATGTTGGAAAGGACTATCTATAAAAAGTCCGAAATGCAACAGAGCAACGGTTAGAAAGAGCTGCCCTCTCACCAGAATAGCTTGTTGTTTTCTTGGTCGAGCTACAAGCTACACCAAGTCGTTTGTATCGCTGATAAAGTCTTTAAAGTCAAACCTTTCAAAGTCTTCACGGCTACGATAGTCTTTCCTGAGTTCTGTTTCACCACATCAAACACCTCCGCTTTTAGCACTTTACCAAAAGCACCTTCGCCTATCGCGTGCAGAAGATTCAAATTTTCTCGATCAATTTCCTACTCTGGATCAAGATGTATCATCATTTCACTGATCTAATGCAAATGAAATACGAGAAGTGTTATGGCATCCTAGAGTCATAATGATTGTGCCCAACTGTCATATAGCAATCTCAATAGTTTGAAGAGCTGGTATTCATTTAAGTACTTGTTTTGCCATGCTAAGTTCTAATTGTTTCTTCTGGATTAAAACATGCATTAATTTTTACTTCATTGTTGGCCAAGGTTTCTTAGAGCTTAAATATATAGAAACACAAAACAGCTCAGCAATATAAATAGCTTGTGCACCAACTTTCATTGATGCTTTCAACATGCCTAATTTTGCAGTAAGACTAAAACTGGAATACCAAGCTTGTAAGTTGTGATCCTGCTCCATAAATTTTAGAGCATCATTTCATTTCTATTGAGATCTATTTTTTTAACAGTAAATGAGAACATAGGAGTTAACATAACTGGACTTAAGACGTGGGGTGAATACACCAGTGATTTTTATGGAAATTTTCTGTATGAATGCAGCATATCCACTGTGTAAAGAATAGATTTCAAAAGAAATGGATACTGATAAGGTTTGGAAATTTACATTGCAAGAGTAAAACTTGCAAGCTTGTTATGCTATGCTACCTCTGCTAACATTTGATTTGATGGTTATCAGTGCCATCCTGGACATTAATGAGGGGGGGTGGGCTGATTTATTCATACATTCACTTGTGTCCAAGTGGTTTCTTTGAAAGCAATTCATTTATAGCAGGGGTCTCCAAACGTTACAGCCATAGGGCCACATGAACTTTCATCCAGCATGTTGAGGGCCGACGAACCGTATATCGCTGGTAAAGAGCGAATATTTTAGTAAAACGAAGTACTTTCTGCATAAAGTTTATTTTGTTTAATAATATTATTATTTTTTCCTAAGTGTATCTGCGGGCCGGATTGAGAGGCCCAACGAGCCGCATCTGCCCCGCGGGCCGTAGTTCGGAGACCCCTGATTTATAGAATTAAGCATTTTACTGTAAAAAAAAAAACGTTCAGGCACAACTGAACTTAGGAATAGTACACATTCCAACCAATTTGCATTGTTGAGACAACTCTGATGATTGCAATTTTGGAAAATATGCATCTGTGAGTCATTCTATTTGAAAATTAATCATCATATTAATTTCACTAAAGAACAAAGTAAAACAGTATATGGTAGTTTCCTTGATAGTGGAACAATTTCATGCACAATTGACTTTTTCATCTAAGGTGTGTTTAAAAAAGGGGATTTGCAATTTGCAGTAGCATCAATATATATGTATGTATTATTGTATTGACTTTCAGGCTTTTGAGAATCAGCTACTGCTGAATCATACAAATTCTAAGTGTCAGCTGATTATAAAAATAAGCAGTTTTTTTATACACCCTATATATACCCATTGCTTTCATTCAAATATGCATGAATCTAATTTTTTAAGTAAAGAACTGATATTTAAGAATTATGTTAAAACTAAAGGAAATTGAAATGATGACCTGTTGTTGTAGTTAAAGGGGAACTCCACCCAAAAATAATGTTGGTCTTAAAACTTTGTCTGTCCCGTGAAAATAAATATGCGGCAATTTTTTTGTTTGTTTGATTCAATATTTTAACAAAAAATGAGTTGAGATGCTGCAGCTAGGGCATCCGGTGCGTGGGAGCAGACATATGTCAGCGGCTTGTATTGACGTCATATCGTCAATTGCTCCTCAAAGCTTTATGTAAAGTCATTGCACAGTCATAATAAACTTGCGTCAAAATGCTTCTCCTAATCACAAAATGTTTCTTTTCGAAACGTCAGAATTTTTTATTCGTAGGTATATACACAAGCAACTTTTATAGCTTACATGCAAGTATTGAGCTGGTTATTTGTATTCTGTTTTAATAGAACGGTTTCACATCCATAAAGGCCATTATCGCACACTTTCCGCACTACATATAGAACTTGAATGTCGATTAATATTATTTTTTAAAAAATACGAAGGTTTCTTCGTGTGGAATCTGTGCGTAATGCCGTTTGCTTGTCCTCCGAATTCAACCTTAACAACAGTTTCCACTGATGTGAAACCAATCTATTGCCCTTAATAAACATTGAATAATAATAAACATGGTTGTGGAACTCATTACGGTTAGAAAATAATCCTACATAAAACCATTGTAAAAATAGCCTTTCGTGCATAGAATTAAGGTGTAGTTTCCTTGACGTAAAGTATGAACTTATAGTTTCCTAATTGTTGTACATAATTTCCCTTTTTTAAGCCACATTTGGGACGAAAATTTATTTCCTACGCACGAAACCATTGGTATAAATAGAAGTAAAATTAGAGACTACGCAGTAGAGTTGTTATTTGATAAGAAAAGTCGTACTTCTTTCTTAATAAAAATAAGTACGTACACAAAAGTCGTTAGAAAATAATCCTACATAAAACCATTGTAAAAATAGCCTTTCGTGCATAGAATTAAGGTGTAGTTTCTTGACGTAAAGTATGAACTTATAGTTTCCTAATTGTTGTACATAATTTCCCTTTTTTAAAATTACAAATTTGTTAGGAAATTCCTTATGAAGCTATGACGTTTATATTAATTGTATGACACCAATATACATGAGATTATGATATTTATATTAATATATATTAATATGTTCAAAGGAGCAGTACATCATTAATCATTAACCCTTCTGTGCAACAGATGGTAATAAAAAAACAGAAATTTGAGTTATTTTTGCATAAACACTAGTTATCAAACTAACAAGTTGTCCATAGTGAAAAAAGATTGTAATCTTGATGAACTGTATGGTATATATTGTAAATTGCAAACACCTTAGTTTTCACCTAATCCTGGCAAACTGTTTTCAATTTGTTCATGTATTTGGCTACACAGCCTATTACACCTTTGCAGTTCAAAGATATGTCTAAAGTCAGGGAATCTGGGAAACTTAGATGCACGATTTCTTATGAGATGTTACTGTTTATGATGTCATTTTGCTAATATGTGTTAAAAAATGTTCTTTAATAGTTACTAACCTACATGATTATTTAACTTGTTCCATAGCTTTTCTCACACCTTTTCTCACTTCCTGACGCTGATTCCGACCTCGATCTCACACACGTGCCACTCAATCCTTGTAACTTGATTCCTAGTAACACCAAAATAATATATCACTGTAAAAATAATAATCCTAATCAACTTCTCATCTTAGAAGCACTTTTGATAAAACGCGATATGCCACAACTTAATAGTGGTCTTAAAGCTTGTAAGAAACTATCTCTATTTTAATGTTAGTATATTGTTTAGTCTTATAGTTCTCTAATTACATAACTGCCATTTTCGCTTGTAAATATATAAAAGTTTCGCAGCCTGCATTGTAAACCATAAGTCTGATGATGTCTTTGGAATAAAGACGAAATATTACACATTATTTTGTTTCAAACTCTTGTAATATCTTGAATATCAAGAAAACGAGATGTCCCTCTTCGGAATTTGCTTTATTTTGTATTATTTGAAATTGTCTGCTTGTCCTGGTTATTCATATATTAGAAGAAAGAGCTGAACTTGTCAAATTATTTAGGTGACAAAGACTTGTCTTTCAACGATACACCCTCTTCATTAGGATGATTCTTCCTTGTGTACGCAATTATTTCGTCAAGCATAACCAGGGCTTTACTCAGAACGTTCCTATCTGTAACCACATACAGTTCATCTTGAAGACTCTTCAATGATTGGATGCATTGCTTACGTATGTTAGACTTTCTCCGGTAAGAAAGGTTTCTATTATTTGATTTGCTGACATGTATTACCTGATCACTATCCTTTTTCTCTATTATGTGTTGCTCAGGTGTGTATTCTGAATTTGACGTCGGTTTTGTAGCGGAAGAGGAAGACCGTTGAGTTATCACTTTATCCAAAGTAAACAGGGGGTACTTGTCGAATTTTCTGCCCAATGATTCCCACCCTATGTCTGGCTGTTGAACAACTGCGCATATGTGCTTGCAGAGAAGTTTCTTTGTTCGAAAGTCGAGACACTGACACGATGGTAACTCTTCGTCTGAGCCAAGCCTTACTTGGTATGCGCATTCTGCTCCTTGTACGATGAAAAGCTTTGGAGTCTCTTTTTTAATGTTTGAGATCTGGATGCCAGAGTCGATTCTACTGATGATATGTTGAACAACACCTCTGGGTTGGTCGTGGAGATACTTTGGAACACGATCATCGTAGCCTCGATATGATGACGTACATCGAATGTTTTGCTCTTTGTATCTATGTAAAATTACCATACGTACATGAGAAAACTTACAAAATTTTTAAAGAAGACGATCATAATCAAGTTGTACAAATTCTCAAGGAGCGGATATTGTACCATCACTTACTTCTTGTAACTATCAGGTAAAAAATGGTTGATTATTACGTCAACCAGATCAGACACCGAGTTATTTCGTCTACTTTCGAGATATGAGTGCTTGAGCCAGTTATTTTGTCTTTCGATACCATTGTTTGTATAAATTGCAATACGAAGATGTTCATCTCGAAAAAAGCGAACCCATTTCTAAAGCATAAAGTCAGTAATAATGCAACAAATACTTTAATTTAAGTATGGTGGTAAATACATTCATAACTATATTTATAACATAATAGACAATGTACGTCTGAAGGGCATATAAGCATGTGTGTTTTCCTGGGAGCATAATTTATTGTTCCTTCTTGGTATTGTGAGTCTTACCTCTAAGTATAAACCCCAAAAGTCTAAAAAATAGTTTTGTAGTTGGACTGATTCCTTCCATGGCCTGCTTTTTTTGAGTGCCTGGATGTTCTCATCAAGAGTGGCTTGGTTTTCACTCTGGGCGATGTTTCAAGTGCCTCAACACTTCATCTTTATACATACTCACACCATTACTACTTTTAGATAACCATTCACCCCAGGCCGCGGTGAAAATCGCACACGTGGACATGCGTTTCTTAACAATTAGAAAGAAAATGTTTTTAAAATTTGTAAAACTAGGGGTAACATTTTATGATTGACAGTGCAAAATTATTTTATTTTAGATAACTACACAATCACACGTCGCTCTTTCATGAGTACAACGAATTCATTAACATGGCAGTAAGTGTTTTTATTTGAATGAGTTCCTTATGTCCACCAATGATTGTGTCCACCAATGTCCACCAATGATTGGCTATTCTTTCTTACTAGGAAAACACTCTTCAATCGCGGAAATTTCTGCCAGTGAGAAGTCCACCATCATGTTTCTGGGGTTCCACTCCGGATTTTCCCTGCTCAATATTCGGAGTACCTCGGATATTGAGCCAGTGTCTTCATTTTCTGGAATAAAAACTGCGACGACAATGTATCCAACATTTGATCTGACGCATAAAAAGAAGAGTGGCAAGGCGTACCTATCACAATGGAAAATGTGTTCACAGTTTTTTCCTGCTTGAATAGTATTTGCATCACATCTCTTTACCTGCATGTTCTGTATGTAGCATCCATGAGACACATCTCCTGCCCGTACAATAATAATAGGCGCTTCATCCACTTCGCTTGATACACAAATAAAAAAGTGCTTTTTACGTGTTTTTCATCTTCCGCCGTCAATGGCTGTTAAATAAGTAAAAATTATACAGCTGGAGTTAATATGGCAAGTTTTGTTAGCGCAAGGTAGACAATGATACATTACCCTGTAAAAGATAAAGTCTTCGGGATGTAACTCATGCCACTCAGATAATTTTGTCTCCAAATTTAATTGGTCATCTGGAGATCTTTGTTTTCCAGATCGGGTTGCATTTAAGATGTTCCTTATATCGACGTCTGTTGGATAATAACGCCGGCTTGACTCAGCTGGCAAATCTTTACTATTGAATAAATGCCCATTTACAAACTTTTCCAAATGCGGACACCTATGACTTGCATTTCTATTATTTTTTGCACTACTTGTGCATCTATTGGCTCTCTCAAACCTGCTACCTGTGTTTATTGGAAATTTGGGTATATTTTGTTTACTAAAAATGTAGCCGTTTTTTTTATCTTAATTAGTGAAGATTTTACCTCTCCTTCCGTCCCATGATATTTATGACTATCCATACTTGGAAGCTTCAAGAGAAACGTATCTTCAATAATCAGATTTTCCCACGATTTCAACGCGTTTATCAGTAAGGATGTTCTTTCTTGCATTTTTCTTCGTGGTTTTATAGCACCAGAGGAAACCTCAACCTAAATTGTCATATTACATTAAAGAACGTGGGATTTAATACTTCAGAAATTTTAAGTTTGCTGTTGAAAACTAGACATCAGGTATATGAACCGAATTTTATCTTACCTTGTACAGTGGGAATTTAAAAATCCGTGACATATATACTTTGCTCGGACATCCAATTTTTTTGGTAGGTTGAAAATGTTTTTTCCGTTTTCTAAACGTGTGATCGTGACCCTAAAAAAACAAACGACAAAAATATGTTAGAACAAAGAACCAGGGCTGTCACTGGTAAATTTGTAAAAATGTGTGCAGTAAAAGTGACGATATAGAGTTGTAAGTACCTCATTTTCATCTCTTTCCTTTGCTCTTTTTATTTTCGTACTTTTATCAATATCTTCACCTTGATGACAATGATAATTCAATGTTCCAATACAAATAAATGGAATTCCATCAAAGGCGTATGAAATTCCATCTGGATTGGAAAGGCTCCATTGCACCCTTGACAAAGACTTTCCAGAATTCATCACCTCTTTAATGGTTTTGCCTTGAAAATATGAGCCCTTTGATCAGTATTAATCTCTCAAATTGCAGAATTATTGATAATAAACAACAATAATAATTAGCAATGAAAAGTGTATCATTTGTTCATTCATGCTTTATATAATCGCAACAATCGAAATCTCGGACGGCACGATTAAATATAATATATTGTATGAATTCTGACGTGAAGTTATGTGATTATTGTAGACATTACAATGATTACATACTTACCGAAAAGTGCATTTGAACTCACACATCTCCATCCCGAGCGCGTGTCTTTTTTGTATTCCTCAAAATTTTCCCATATGTCTTTCTGCCATGAAAACATTTTAATCGAAGAACAGCACGAGTCCATTGTTGTTTTTAAAAATTCGCGGTGAAAGCGCGCAATCTTAAAGAGTTCTGGGTGGATTGTTACTGCTGACCGCAATTAAGCGCAGTTTCGTATATGTGCATATCTCACCTATGATCTAACGCCGACCCCAGTAAAGTTAGCCCCTCCAGTTATTATAGAACTCAATGGTCCAGGCCCTTTTCCCTCCACTCCAGGTCATATAGAACTCAATGGGGCAGATGCACGCAGCACGTTTCACTTCTGTGCGTCTGCGGCACGTGCTTTCCTGCATGGTCTGATTCAGTGGTCTCATTTAAATATACTTTAAAGGAAAAGAGTGAATAAAAGTTATGAAACCAGTTCTGGATACACATTTGGAATGGCTGTGAAGGTAGTTGATTTATAGAATGCTGATCCCCGATGATGTGTGTTTTCGTGTAATACTTTTCAGCCTTTCTGTAAGATTTTGATGTAAACATTAGCAATCTCGGTTTTACGGATTTTGGACTAGTATTTTAAATTTTGTCGTATCGTGTGATGTATTTACAAGTTGCCAATACATTGCATCAACAATTGTTTTTTCCAATAGCCGTATTGTCCCAGATTATCAAGTAAAGTGAATTCACTGAACGTTCAGCTTTGGAAATGCAAACAAGATTTATATAACGGTGCCGTGAAATTCATTTTCTTAAAGAGCTCATGATTACCTCAAATTACCATCAACAACATGATCAAATGACTAAAAACTATTTTGTCACGACCAAAACAAAAGACCAGATGAAAACAAGTAAACATTAGTCTTGGGTATTCTATGTACTGCACATCTTTCTGAAAAGATGATCCGTGCATATATTCCTTAAAAATCCACTTACTAAAAGACTAATTGGCTCCAGTGATCTGATTACATTTGGCACTATAATGCAAATTGTACTAAAACTGTTTTTAGAGTTTGTGCCTCGCAACTTGGAATGTTGCTTCATCAAATTTCGGAGTTTTAAAACAACTGTCGATTTATCATATTTTGTCCAATTTAAGTCCAATATTTTCTTGCACTAAAACTTTTTTCAAGCTTTTTGGGTTTAGACAATGATTTAGACAGAAAAAATACCCATAGTTACGGCGTTGACTGAAGCATAAAAAATGACGTAAATCTCAACAAATTCCAGATTGAATAATCAAAGCTTATTGAACTTCAATTCGGTGCGCAAACTCTTGTCTGAGTGTAACTAGACAATTTGAGAAATTTTATAGTTATGTGTAAACAATCATTAACATACATTCGAGGAGAACTATTGACATAGTATATGTTATTTTCACTGAACTAACATGGTCAGATTTTAAAAAAACAACTTAAAAACACCCAACACTGTGTCGTAGCGAAATCCTTTTTCTGCACGAAGGCTTTTTGCTTTAAAATTAAAAGGTTTAAGGTTCACTGTGATAAATCAATAACCTTATTGTTATTGTGTTTTTGATGTTGTTATATGAAAAAATTCTTGCTGAATATGTTTCTCCTCGAAAATATCTTGCTGTGGCATGAACTAATTCTGTCAGATGCAATTTTAAAACACAAAATGTGAGAAAAAACCGACACCAAATCATTTTTTCACGTTGTTCGAACGCCAAGAAGCAAAACAAATATTGGCCGCCGAAAAATCACGCATTATTTCAAGGGAAGTTTGACAAAGTTTAGATGTATTTTGGCTTCCGTCAATCACGGGACAAAATTATAGGAGTTAGCGTTCCACATATATTTACTTCAACGGGGAAAGAAGTATTTTAGTACAAAGTATATATATTTCATGCTAGCTTCTTTAAATTATAGTAACAATTACCTATTTTTGTCTTTCTATATAGAAAATTTGAAGAGAAGCAATGTTGAGCATTAGGAGATTTCAGTTGGTTGTTTTTTCTTTATTCATCTGTAACCGTCTTGCAAATGGACATCAGTCATGTTCAACTCGACCTATAGCCGGTGAAATCCGAACAAGGAACTGTGGATTGCAAAGAGTTATATCAAAAGGATGTAGTGGATATTGTCCATTACATTCGTCACCAAGAATAAAATGGTCAGATTTCAAAACAACCTGTACATGCTGTCAAGTAAAAAAAAAAGAAATGAAAGTTGTTTTCCTTTGTGGAGGCAAAGAATCATACACAATTCCTGTGGCGAAAAAATGTGCATGTCGACCATGTAAAATATAAAGTTGGAAAGAAACGTTCCAATTCGCACGATTTGGACATTTTATAAAAGGAAAACAAAACCCTGTTGAAATGCGCAAATGTATTATTCGAAAGTACGCAAAATGTTTAACTCAGAGAGCTGTGTTTGAGTGCTTCAAAACATATCTGTGAAATTCACAATTATCACTTTGTAAGTAGTTTTGGGTGTAAATTTTTTAAAATTATTATCTTAAGTTTGTTTTCAACGTACCGGAGGTCAAATTTCCGAACTTTTTTATTTTAACCATCGATCGATCACTTAAATTCTTTGTAGACCCAGTGAACACTTTCACAAATAAAAAAGCAGATAAGTTTTATTAAGCATATTGTTTGATGAGTGCGGATCACTGACTGAATGGTCCATCTACGAACATTCATGAGACGTTTTTATATACAAATTAAAACAAATGTATTCATTGTATAGATGGAATAGTTAATCGACGATAGGCTTTGTTTCATTAAACAAAAAAATCATGTTACAAATAATCGTAATGTCAACTTTGTTTTGTTAATAAAATAAAAATAATTCCTGTGGATTAGAATTCGATGTGTGCAAAGGGGCTGATTTAACGGGGGGGGCATACACGTCCTTACAATTCATAAATCAATTTCTTCGACAGCACGGCAGGAAATGATTACAATATGATATTCGTCCATAGGAATAATTGAGAAAACTGATAACGATTTCTACTCATTTAAGTGGTTATCATTATAGGATATTAATTGAATATTAATATTATATCATTGTCTTTTTTTAAAAGATTTTACAACAATTGTAAATTTTGAATTTCCGTTTCTTCCAACATCATTTGATTTGTGCATAAGTCTACAAACTTTGTTTTGCAAATCCATCATTGATAAAAATTAACTATGAGAAATTATGAAGAAAAACAGCTCGAGGGCTTGAAATGAAAGCTTTTGTTGTTGATTAGAAAATAGCGAAGTTAATTCTTTACTCTCTTTTAGCTCCTCGCAACGATCGTGACTAAAACACCACACGAGTACATACGAGTACATACGAGTACATACGAGTACATACGAGTAACATACGAGTACATACGAGTAACATACAAGTACATACGAGTAACATACGAGTACATACGAGTGACATACGACTATTTTCTGGTCAACAAATGATAAACAACACAATTTCTTCAATACATTGATATTTGCATTTATTTTTCCATGTATTTGTGTGGACTTTTGGGCAACCATTTGATGGATTTAAATACTGAAAAGGTATTTTACTTTCATACTACATTCATTTGTATGTTCTAGTTGAATTTGTTATAGATATTTTGTCGATGCGATTTGCCAGTATTTGAGCGCTTTTTGACAACCTTTCACCTAGGAAATACATATTTATGAAAGCAATTATACATTCATTTTGGTCTTTAAGATACTGATTTTTCAGTTAAAAGACTGAATTATATCAGCTAGAACTTTAAAAACATTAAAAGTAAGCTGAAATTGTACGCATAATATGATATATATACGTAACACAGTGCAACTCTCATTTAATTCAAATATATATAATGTACATTTATTTCATATAGCACGTTTTGAAAGCATTATTTATACGTTGTTTATTTAATCGCTTTCATAAATATGTATTTCCTAGGTGAAAGTGTGTCAAAAAGCGCTCAAATACTGGCAAATCGCATCGACAAAATATCTATAACAAATTCAACTAAAACATACAAATGAATGTAGTATGAAAGTAAAATACCTTTTCAGCATTTAAATCCATCAAATGGTTGCCCCAAAGTCCACACAAATACAAGGAAAAATAAACGCAAATATCAATGTATTGAAGTAATTGTGTTGTTTCTCATTTGTTGACCAGAAAATAGTCGTATGTCACTCGCATGTACTCGTATGTTACTCGTATGTACCATTGAGTTCTATAATAACTGGAGCGGCTATCTTTACTGGGGCGAGGTCGCCAAAAAAATGGCGGCCAAAGGACGTATTTCCGCTGAAATGATCGCTTTGCAGAAAAATAATATTCTCGACCTCCCCTGGTGTCTATAGTAAATTATAAAGAATTTTTCAAAAACAAGCACGATATCACAGAATATGGATATCGTTTGTTCCATATTCTGTGACGATTCTTTTTTGGCATTTCTTTTATAATGCCTACATTTCAATCGTTCAATTGTTGGATGTCGTAGTTTCCACAAAAAGGAACATATCGCTTCTCACAGGTGAGGTAGTTGTTTGTTTTGTTAGTCCGTCAACGATTGAAAAGCAATTATACATGCACTTGAAAAGCCATAAAATACATATTAAAAATCGTATTTTTTAAGACAGACTTGAACGCCAAATATACTGATGTTTTCCTGTTTTTGTTCATAAAATTCTGCATGCTTTTCTGTCATTTTTTGATGCATGAAATCGTGAATTTACCCATTTATTTGCAAAATAGTTTCCCTAAAGCAAGAAAGACCCTGCACACATTTTGCTCTGTGAGTAAGTATCAAAAAGAAATGATCAGCCCCAACGGTACCCATGATTTGGAGCAGAGCTTGTTATGTTCTATTGCTGACAACATGCAGGGAAGATCAAGGAGTAAAGATGACTGGAAGATATTATTGACCAGGCAGAGTCTTAAAAAATGATAATACTGTAAAGATAATTGATTTATTGTCTTCCTTATCCAGAGTTATTTAAGTTGATCGTGGTCAAATTCTATGGATGGAGACAATGGATTCACTAAGGATGCCTTGAATGCTTTGAAGTTAAAGGTCATGATCCAAAGAAAGATGGCAAGGTTGTGTGTGTTTTGAT